TTCTTCTCTACCTAACCAAACTCTCTTCCTCCCAAATCCCCTCCACCGGCCCCCATAAGTCCACCGCCGGCCATCCCAGGCCAATCCCACCACTGGCGGCTCCGCCGACCTCCTTGGGACGACCAAGCCACCGGCCTTCCTCTTGGGATTTTCAAATTTGAAATTCAAATTTGTTTCCAAGAGGCATTGAAGACTTTCCTGAAATAGTTCCTTGATTTAAGGCTTTCATATTAATTGGATGTGAATTTGAATTTGAAATTCCAATTAATTCTAATTGATAACCCTATTATTAAAATTTTATCTTTCTTTCAAAATCTGAATTTTAATTCATATTTTATTGAATCTTTGATTAGTAATGTGGGCCCCACTCTACTTATGAAAAATAATCTCCTCCCTCTCTCTATGTAGTCTGCCCTCTCATTGGGCATAATCTCTCTCCTATCTCATTAATAGGCCCCCTCATTAAGCCTCCATAATTACCTCTCACAATTCCCTCTCATCCAATTTAATTCTCCCCATTAAATTTGAATTTAAATTCAAATTCATCCCAGCAATTCCACTTAATCTGAAATTTAATTTCAGATTTTCATTCTCTCTCCCCAAATTGATTTGGGATTTAATTAATCTGGCCACTTAGGCAAGTATATGACATTTATGTTTCACATCAGATAGAGGATCGGATTTCGTATGTTTTATGCCCTTATTAGTGAATTCGTATTGTTATAGACTTTTGAAGGTCTGATATGAATGTATTAAAACAAATATACCGTTCACCATCATCATATACTTGTTTGATATTTCGAACCCTGTCGACTTCTATTGACCCGTATAGAAGGATCGGGTTCGAACTTGAATTCACTTATTGACCCGCACAGCTTCCCTAGACGTCACGTGTGTACCAATAACACGCTCGTCGGGCCCATGCGGGTGTTTGGGGGCATTTTGTAATTATTTATTGAACCTTGTCGACTCCTACTTGCTTAGAAGGATCGGGTTCAGATTTAATAAACCGCGCAGCATCCCTAGACGTCACGTGTGTACCAATAACACGCTCGCCGGGGCCCATGCGGGTGTTTGTTACAATTATCCCTTTGTGTACCTATGTGTATACAAACTACTGTGCACGTGCGGGGGTATTTTTGAATATTTTTGAAACGCCTTCTGTCCGCTTGTATGAATGTTGCGGATCCGGTGGCGTGGCATAACAGCTTCTGAATAGAGTTGTTTGCTGCTTCATACAGGTAGACAGTCGTGCACTACTCGTTGCTTTCTGCAGGTGGATTGTTGTGCACTAACGAATCTCCTGCTTTGGATTGTAGAAGCTTATAGGAGCTTGTATTCTTTATGCATTATGCTGTGATTTTAGTCTTTACAATACAGCCACTACTGCTAGCGGTAGATGTATTCATCTTTAGACTGAAGTTGACTACAGGATACTGCATTTACTGTAGTTTTTATGTATCTACCAATGGGTGGATGTTATACATACATTTGTATTCGTAGAGGACTCATATGCATTACAGATCTTATTATCCTTGCTTATAGAGGGCTGGTGCATTTGACTGATGTTGGACAATTGTTGACCATGGACATGTTATAGTGTTTTTATCACAATAATTGGTAGGTAACTTGAATGTGCTGCGGACATGATGTCTCTTTCACCATTCTGCATGTACTTGATTGTAGACATATCTTTTATACTCATTTGTGGACAGGTTGTATTGTCTTACACTATTTATATCAACGTTTTAAAAGGCGAAATCGGGAATCGAGGCGTTTTGGCTAAGCGAGGCGAGGCGTAAGCCTAAAAAATTATAAAAATAAAGCAATTTAAAATTATGAATAATGACAAAATATCAAAAAATAACAAAATATTACGTCAATTGTTAATTTGATGATTTGTTCTAAGATAACATTAGTATATTACTGGAAAAGAAGATTTAAAATAAACTCATTTAAATATAAAACATCCCTTTAGGATCAAGACCCAATGCAGGCTCAGTACCGAGCATGTACCGCTCAGTACCGAGCATGTACCGCTCAGTACCGAGCATGTACTGCTCAGTATCGAGCATATACTGCTTGGTATCGAGCATGTACCACTCCGTACCGAGCATGTACCGCTCAGTACCGAGCATGTACCGCTCAGTACCGAGCATGTACCGCTCAATACCAAGCATATACTGCTCGGTACCGAGCGTGTACCTAGTGGTACCGAGCATGTACCACTCAATACCGAGCATATACTTGCTCGGTACCGAGCGGTGGTGGCTCGGTACCGAGTATGTACCTAGCAGTACCGAGCATGACTGAGCGGTACCGAGCTTGTACCTGCTCGGTACCGAGCATGTACTGAGCGCCTAATCGAGGCCTGAACGTTTACTGCACTCACAACTTCGGCTTCGTTTCCTGCTTTTGAAACCGTTATTGCTTTTGGAAATACTTGAGTTTGCAAGTAATCCTATCGGATCTACTTGAGTTCGCAAGCAACCCTAATACAAATTAAATCAAAACAGCGATAATAACCAAGACCGGACAAAGAAGACCAAAGTAGAACTTTATTGAAAACTCAAAGCAAAGAACATAAGCAGAGATACAAGTGATCCTCTATTCGAGAGGAGGATTCGTTCTCTCCAAATCTCTAGACGCTAGGTCTAGAGCCCCCGAACTTCAAGAGACTCCAAGATAACACCAATCTAAGCATGCCTTCACCCCTTCCTCCTCATCCCTATTTATAGCCTTCATCCTAGCCATCCCTTTTCTTTAATGAAGTGTCAATCTATCTTCACATGTTTGGTCTGATCATTATGGATAAATTTGTGTTATATTTATAGCAACTTTATTATCATAATATGCTACCATAGGAGTCTAGTACCTAAAGTTCTTCCATGAGTACACTAAGCCAGATTAATTCACTAATCACATTGGCTAATGATTTGAGTTCTGATTTTGCAACTTTTCTTTGCCACTATATTTTATTTTAAATTACTTTAGGTTAGAATATTACCTACACATAGGTGCAGTATTCTATAGTAGATTTTTTATCTATTACAGACCCAACCCAAATAGTGTCACCATAAGGTTCTATAATTTTGGATTATTTATTAAAGAAAAACATCCATTTTGGATTTTTTTTATTTTTAGGTTTTTGAGTAGCCTTGTAACTATAGTCTTACGTTTATTTGAGGGGAATGCATAAACTAACTTACCATCCTGACAACAAAGGCTATATCAGGTATCCATGAGCCAAATAGATGAGTTTCTCCATCAACTTTTAATTTCTTCCTTTATCAACTGGGAAATTGTATTAACATTGATCAATTTCTTGTTGGGATGTGTCAGATTGCTGATGGATATTTTTTTCATTTAAATCAATTTCTGTTATTAGATCTAGAACATATCTTCCTTGAGATGCTCAATTTGTTATAGAGATACTAAGATGGCCAGATCTTTGATTTGGCGTTCTTCTACTAGTCTTCCAAATTATGATATATTGTGGAATACTCCATATTATTGGCCGGAAATATGCCTCTTTATATAGAGACTTACTAGGGACAAAAAGGGAAAAACTAAATATATCCTAACAATAAAGGAAATTTAAATAGTACTTATAAAAACTACTAAACATGATAGATAGAATTCTTATAAATAATCCCTAGAGAACTCAACACCGGTTAAGTTTCATTACAGATGGGGAAATGACAGCAACATTCAACAATTATGCAATTTGTCTTTCATATTAGTGAGAAGATTTTGTCCCCTGTTATATATATAAAAAAAAAACTGCCTCTTCATATATGCACATGAAGTTGCAATGCATTCCAAAATTTTATTTTCAAGTTAGTCAAAATTTTTACAGAATATGTACTGTGCATTAAGACATCCATACTAATGTAGATACCCTCATATCTATATGGATTATGCTGTAGTATGCATGTATTCTTCTAGGATTGAACCTGTAGAAGATAAAATGAGTGGATAGTAGCAACTAATAAGAACTTGTGTTATTTATACATTTTAAATAAGTTCAGAAACAAATTATATTGATGAAAGTTTTTTGTAATTTTTATATCTAAATCATAAACACTAGGAATTCACTTACCTGTTTTCTCTCTTCTAATTATCCCCTTTATATATATATATATATATATATATATATATATATTATCATTAACAACATTTTTTTAAAAACTAGTTGAACATTTGAAATCATTATCCGAGCCAAACAAAAGTTATTCATTTTTTATAAGTTTATAAAATAAAATTGCATTATTTTTTCATGTTAATCCAATTATTTTCATCATAAAATTATTATTAAGCAAACATTTTTTGTTTGATAATTGTCTTCGTAAATAAAAATAATTAAAGTAAATGGGAATGCTTATGAGCGTAGTTTAATAATCTATGTATATGTTGGATTAATCTTTTCTTTTTTTAGATTAACCAGGATTCTTCTTAAAATTCAAATGACCGATATTCTTTTCAAACTCGTGCAGTTTGGAAGCTTTTGCAGAACTCTGGCATAAACCCTCTGTTTATTTAGTACAATCAAGCATTCGTATTTCAAAAAGTTTATAGGCGTTTAAGCTAGGCTTCGTTCACTCCGTACAGAAAAAATTGCAATATAAACTATTGCATGTGTTTTTGCTTTACTTTTTTTTACAGTTCGCTCTCACACTACAGGGATTGATATATGTTGTTTTCCCAGCTTTATTCCATTCCTGTATATACTTGTGAATTCTTAATTATAGAATGATCATGATAAAATATGTGTGCCGTAATAAGAAAAAAATTTATCAACACTTATTTTCATCAAAATTCCTACTTTCATCAAGCTTCAAACTAGGTCAGCCAATAGAGCTTTTACTTCATGATATCCTTATTTTTTGCTATGTTTCTTTTTTTCACTGCAATTTTTGGTTATTGATCTTGTTGCAATCATATCGTTATCTTGCTATAATAATGCGTTTTTTTAAAAAATACAATTGGAAAATTCGCAGCAAGCTTTCTAACATGCAGAGAGGATATAAGCACGAGGAGGCAGCTGGATTGTTTGACAGAATTGTTTTTTCTAAGGTAGATTTGGATGCACAAAAATGTATTATAAAATTTAATTACTTGCCAGTGCTTATTATCCTCATCATTGTAAATTCAAAATTCTTATTTGCATAGGTGAAACAAGGATTGGGTGGAAAAGTTCGCATTGTCCTGTCTGGGGCAGCTCCTTTAGCTACTCATGTGGAGTCTTTTTTAAGAGTTGTGACATGTGCTCATGTCTTACAGGGCTATGGTAAAATGCAAATTATGCTGCCCACTCAAAATATTCCGTTGTTTGAGTTTTGAATAATTTGTTGCATGATAGGAGTTTAATCTAACTTTGCTTTATACCATCCAAAACTGTGTCTATTTGTTTTCCCACGAGTTAAAGTTTATTTTGTCAAATGTAATGCGTTTACTATTGATATCATATGCAAAGAAATCCTTCATTGTCATCCCTTCTATTTGAGGTCAGCTTTATGAACCCCTTAATTTATTTTAGTGAGAGCGACATAAGATGTTAGTCTAATTTATGCAAGTTATTTTGTACTACTTCCATCCATATTACTTTTAGTATACGATTTTTCCTCTATTTTCCATCCATATTACTTTTAGTATACGATTTTTCCTCTATTTTTTTCACTTCATCACCTTATCTTCAGCAGTTTTTTGTCTTATTTCTTTTCTAATGTAATTCTTTCTTACTTCCTTTCTTATTTTATGTTGGGAAATTCTAAGGCATATATTTCTAAAAATAAATAACACACACACATGTATGTATGTATATATTTCCCTTAAAACATAAACATGTCTCAAATAGTTCAGTAATTGAAAGCGAAGCACAATCCCAGTTATAGATAAATAGATTTGAGGGCACTGATGTAGAAAATTTTGGGTATAATATAACATTTATGGAAGTCATAGTTCTCACAAATATACATCTTTAACAATAATCTAAATTCAATGCATCAAGCTTAACAAAATTTCACTTAGACACCTCAATCACTGAACAAATAGTTAGAAATCTCCCTATTGAAGATCTTATCCTCACACCAATATTAAGAGACTTGCCCCCGGATGTAATCTTCAAGATTTACGAAGTGATTAAAGATTCAATACCCAAAAAGATCATAAGTATTGACAGATGATTTAGAATTTTAACTAACCATTCAAGCAAAATTACATGCCTTAGGGTTTTATTTATATAACCTAGAAGACTTAAATATAGTAACTTTTCATAATCCATAGGATGCAATTAAATTTAATAGGCTTCAAATACATTGTACATATATTCTATCAAAATTTCTTATTTTTTAGGCAGAAGAGTTCTCGATAATTTTCAGTAGGAAAAAAATCATGTGTACTAAAATTGTGTGCTGAAAGAGCCATGGTTTATGAAGTAGGTGTGAAGTACCAATCAGACAAACCACAAAAAATTGTAAGAAATTTGAGTCATGAAGCCATTCAGAAACCACTTCACATGTTATCTTATTTAACTTTTCAACATATAAATATTAAACTGTAAAATTAGAAATAAAACTATACTAAAAAATTCAAAAAAAAAAAAAAGAAGAAAAGAAAAATAATGAAGAAACTAACCCTCCAAAAACATCCATGTTGATGGTCGAAAGGAAATACACAGTCTATTGGAAATAGAGGAGAAATATAGTAACGGGTTTCAGAATTTCATTCAGCTCTTCATTGATTGTATAATGAGTGAATACATTGGTATATATAGGTAGTGAATACAAGTATAATGGCCTGATGTGTGGTGAGAATTTCACTGGTTTGTTATGCGGTTTTTGATGGTACAAAAAGGACATTGTGTACACGTGGAGTGTCACGTGTGTTATTACAGCTATTAGTCCCTTCAAACAGTAGATTCGATGGGTTGATGCTGTAGTTTGTCCCTTAGATGATGGAAGGGAGATTTGGGAAGGCTTTTCGTGAGTATGTCTGCGAGCTGATCGGTGGTGGAGATGTGATAAATGGTAAAAGTTTTAGATGCAATATGATCTCGAATAAAATGGAGATCAATTTCAATGTGTTTGTTGGAAGCTCTGAGGATCGGGTTGTTTGCAATGGATATTGTGGAGGTATTGTCAAAGAACAGTAGTGTGGGAGACTTGATGGGTATGCTAAGATCTTGTAACAGCCAATGTAGCCATATGAGTTTTGAGGAAGCTGCTACTAGGGTGCAGTACTCAACCTCGGTGGACGACCAAGCCATTGTTTTTTGTTTTTGTACTTTCCAAGGTATGCGGGATGTGTCGAGGAAGAAACAGTAGACAGAAATTGATCTTCGATGTGTGTGATTGCTACCCCAATCGACATCTGTAAATGCTGTAAGATTCAAGTTGGATCGATGAATGGTGATGTCGAGATTGCTTGTCCCCTTGAGATAGCATAGGACTCTTTTGATCATTTGAAAGCTCATTTCTGAGGGAGCTTGCATTGATTGACATATCTGGTATACAACAAAGGCAATGTCGGGTCTAGTAAGGGTTAAGTACTGCAAGGACCCCGGTTATCTTGCGATATTTGGTGGGTTTGAGGAAGAGTGGTGAGGTGTTAGTGGGTTTTGTCTTGGGGGGAAGGGGAGTGGAAATGGGTTTGCAGCTGAGCATGCCAGATTTATTTAGAAGATTGGGAATGTAATGCTATTGGTTTAAAGGGTAGCCAATTTAGGTTTTGGTATATTGATTCCAAGAAATGTGTAGATTGGGCCTAGTTCTTTGAGTTGACATTTCGTGTGAAGTTGTTGGAGGTTGGTTATGAATTGGGGATTGTTACCTGTAATAAGGATGTCGTCAACGCAAATTAGGAGGTAGATATGTGTTTGGTCAGTTTTATGGAGTAAGAGGGAGGGGTCGGCTAAGCTGGGCACAAAACCAAGGGTTGTTAGGTGTTGTGAAAAGTAGATTTCCATTGCCGAGGAGATTGTTTGAGTCCGTAGAGAGCTTTGTGCAGTTTACATACGTGGTTGGGGTACTGAGAGTCCTTGAATCCGGGTGGTTGTTGCATGCAGATGATGTACTCGAGGTGGCCATGGAGAAAGGAATTTGAGATGTCGAGTTGATGAATGGTCCAGTCGTGATGAGTGGCGAGGGAAGTAAGAGCACGGATCATGTGCATTTTAGCTACTTGACTAAAAGTTTCTTCATAGTTGATGTCGTATTCTTGAGTATGTCCCTTGGCTGCAAGCCTTGCTTTGTATCTGACAATGGATCCATCAGAATGCCATTTTGTTTTAAAAGTCCAGCTACTTCCCAAAATTGGTTGGTTAGTTGGAGGAGGAACTAGGGACCAGGTACCTTGCTGTTGAAGAGCCATGAATTCCTCAGTCATAGCGGTTCTCTAGTGAATCGATTTGGAAGTTAGTGTGAAGGATGTGGAATCCGAGGTTGATTGGATGTGATGTAGGAGATTGAGGATTTGTTTTGGTTTGAGGTTTTTGGTTTGAGATCTGGTGACCATGGGATGTCGAGGTGGCATTGGTGGGGAAGAGGGATTTGTGGATGATGTTGGTAATGGATTGGGTGATGTTTGAGGTGATGTGTTGAGTTGATCGGTTGAGATGAGAGTTGTGTGGCGTTCGGGAGTGAAGTGTGGGGCGTTGGGGGTGGATGGGAGTTAGTTGATGGTATTGGAAGAAGAGGTGGAACGAGAGGTGGAATGGCAGGTGGGGTGGTCGATGAGAGTTTGGTGAGTGAAAAGTCTGTTTCATTGAAGACGACGTGTCAGGAGGTGATGATTTTGTTTGTTGCAAGGATTAAGCAGTGGTAGCCTTTGTGGGATGTGGAGCCAAGGAAGATGCATTGGGGAGCTCTTGGAGAGAATTTTTTGGGAGAATTATGTTTTTGCCAAGAAAGCTTGACCAGCCAAAAATGCGGAGGTGATTGTAGCTGGGGTGTTTGTTGTATAGTAGGTAATGTGGGGTTTGCATGTTAAAGTCTCGTGAGGGAGTTCGGCTGATTAAATGGACTGCGGTGGCAAGGGCGTATATCCAAAGGGAGTGAGGAATGTTAGCTACTGTAAGAAGGGTAAGCGTGATTTTGACAATATGTTTGTGCTTGCATTCGGCCATGCCATTTTATTTAGTCGTGTGAGGGCAATTGAGATGATGGAAGATTCCATGGGAATTAAAGTAGTGGTAAACTCGGTGGAGGTGTATTCGTCGCCGCCGTTAGTTTTGAGTACTTGAATGTTTTTATTGAATTGGGTTTTGATGAGCATGTGAAATTGTTTGAATTTGTGTATGGTTCAGATTTAGTAGACATGGGAAAGAGCCATGTTTATCGCGAGTAGTCTTCAATGAAAATTATGTAGTATTCAAAACCTTGAGACAAGATAGGGGCAGAGCCCCATACATCACAATGAACTAGTGTAAATAAGAGTGAGATTTACTTGTAGAAATTGGAAATTGTAACTTACGAGTTTTAGAAGCCTTACATGAATTACAAAATAAAGAAGAGAGGTATTTGGAGGTGTGGATGCGTTGCAAAGATGGCTTGAAGTGAGGCTTTGTGCGGGTGACCTAGCTATTGATGCCATAGAGCAGAGGATAGACGAGTGTGGAGACCGTGAGGATGCTTGATCGATGCCTTTGGCGGTGTGGGAAATGTTAAAATTGGAGCCATTGCCAATTGTGACTTGATTAACATCGGCGTATTCTTCAGGATTGTGGAGTTGAGAGAGATCGAAGGTGAGATGAGAGGAAGCTCCCGTGTCGAGAAGCCAATTGGTGGGGGTTGGTTCGGTGGTTGCTGTGAGAGCTGCGGGATCAGCGGTTGCTGTGAGAGCTGCGGAATTGGATTGTTTTGGGGCGATATATGAGAGATTGGCTCAGTGCCAGCAGTTGAAGGCAGTATGACCAAGTTTACTGTATATTTGGCAAGGAATGGATGATCTTTTTGAGTTTGAGGTGGGGATAGTATTGGGTCGTGGTTGAGCTGGGGTTCGACCTCTCCCTCTGGAGGTATTGGGGTTGCCTCTGACTCTATGACTATGGAAGGCGACGGAGGAATTAGATTGGATTTTTTGGTTTTCAGACTGCAGATTGATCTCTTTGCTTCTAAGCAACGAGTAGAGATCATCAAGGTGGATTGGTTCAAGTTTGGTGCATATAGCGGTTTTGAAGGATTGGAAAGAGGGTGGAAGGCCTTTTACGATGTAAAGGACTATGTCTTCCAAGTCAATGTGGCAGCCAACTTCTTTGAGTTGATCGATGATGGTTTTGATGTGAGTTAGGAATTGAGTAATGGTACCGGATTTCATTGAGACGTGAACTTCGTTCTTGAGCTAAATCACTCTTGAACGATTGGTTGATTGTTGGTGTTTCTTGAGGGTGGTCCATATGGCGTGAGAAGAATCTAGATTTAGAATGTAGGGGAGAATGGTGGGTGAGATCGTGGAGTAGAGAGTTGCACAGAGATTTTGGTTGATGAGTTTCCAAAGTGTGTAGTCTTGATTGAGGATAGGCTGGTTGGAACGATCGAGTATGAACTGAGAGGGGAAAGCGGTGGTTCCATCTAGAAAGGTGAGGAATCCGTTAGCTGAGAGGATTTTAGAGATTTGTGAACTCCACAGTGGATAGATGTCTGTTGTGAGGGGAGAGGTGGCTAGGAACATAATGTTACTCATTAGAAATTTGATTGTGGGAGGAATGGTGAGATTATTGGATTGTTGGAGAGTGACTAAGGTTGTATTGATGACAAGAGAGGAGGAGTTCATGGTTTGAAGTATAGATATCGAACCTTGTAAAAAAAACTTTTTGATACCAAGAGGAAATACACAGTCTACTGGAAACAGAGGAGAAATACAGTAATGTGTTTCAAGATTTCATTCAGCTCTTCATTGATTGTATAATGAGCGAATACATTATTATATATAGGTAGTTAATACAAGTATAATGGCCTGATGTGTGGTGAGGATTTCACTGGTTTGTTATGCGGTTTTTGATGGTACAAAAAGGGCATTGTGTGCACATGGAGTGTCACGTGTGCTGTTACAAATATTAGGTCGATGGTATTTTTTCTCTTCAATCCTCAGTTACCTCAAATGTTTTTACACGAAAAAAGGGTTGAATTTCAAAACCTTCAATGATAAAAAAAGGATCATAGAACTCAAACAAAGGATTTCATAGAACCATCACAAATTTGGGAATGTGCTGTTCTTCCATGCCATGATTCTCTTCGAGCATTAGATAGAGCTTCTTTGGTTGCACACCCAAAATCACAACAACAACAACAACAACAACATCAATCCTTTGTCCCACTACGTGGGGTCGACTACATGAATTCTTTTTCTCCATTGTTTCCGGTTAAAAGTCAAATTCTTATTTAAATCTAATAAAGAAATATCATTTGTAATATTTTCTAACCAAGTCTTTTTAAATCTAACTCTACCTTTCTTAACATAAGTCAAATCTAATACCTCAACTTTTTTCCTAATCGGGTGATCGGAAGGCCTCCGTTTAATGTGACCAAACCATCTAAGACAACTCTCTCTAATCTTTTCTTCCATTGGAGCTACTCCAACCTTTTCACGTATATGCTCATTTCGTATCCTATCTCTAAGGGTCAGGCCACTCATCCACTTAAGCATCATCATCTCTGCAACACTTACCTTAGTATTATGCTTCTGTTGTAATGGACAACATTTGGCACCATAAAGCATTGCAGGTCTCACCACCATCTTATAGAATTTTCCCTTAAGTTTGAGGGGGGTTTTTCTATCGCACAATAAGCCCAATGCATTCCTCCACTTCAACCATCCAACTTGAATTCTGTTGATAATATCCCCATCAATTTCACCATCACTCTGAACAATAGATCCAATATATCTAAAATGTGTACTCTTATTAATGACTTGATCGCCCAAAGTCACAATCCCTTCACTAGGTCTATTGCTACTAAAATTACACTCCATATATTCAATTTTAGATCTACTCAAGCAAAAACCTTTAGACTCTAAAGTTGACCTCCATAACTCAAGTTTACCTTCAACTCCCTCCTCCACTAATTTCAAATTCAAATTTCAGAGGAGATTAATCTCTAATTATTCGCTAAATCTGAAATTAATTTCAGATTTTATTTTTTTCTCCTTCTCCACTTAGCTTGGCCGATCCCCTCCTCCCCCTCTCTACATTTTCTCCGGGACAACTATGCATGGCCGATCCGAATATTGATCAGAGATTAGTCTTTGATTCCCAAGGACGTGTGGATGTTTTGAGATCGTCTTTCGTGACGTCAACGTAGAGATCGACGCCACCATTGAAGATTATGTGGATCGGAATTTCTGCAACCACTTTCCGGCTGTTCCATGCTGCGGGAAAGCTCTTGGTTGTTGCATAAATCTTCCCCAGCATTCAACGATCTTAGTCAGAATGTGCATCTCTCTTATCTTTGGGTAAACTCGACATCTGACTCTTTTAGCCTCTTAGTTTATTTCTCCAATGTGGTTATGTTTTGATTCACAAAGATGTTGTTGGTCCCTCCGCTAAAGCATAATAATAGGAAGAGTTGAGTGAATGGTTCCTTGTAGTAGCTAGTCTTAATGTTAACGAAGGGATTTATTGTTGAGACCTTTCACGAATGCAAAAGTGGATTAAATTGATTGATTTTTATGCTCTTAACTTCTATGCACGTAATTTAACCAACGCTATTTATCACTTTAATATTTTATTTTATCGCTGAATTTAACATGAGATATTGCTTATTATTGTTCTCTAAAACTAAACGTGCAAACGTCCTTAAGCATATCTTCTTCCCATGATTGTTTCACATCAATAAATTAGGGCAGAAACTCTGAGACTAAGGCTTTGTTTGGGATGACTTTCTTACTGCTTTCTAAAGCAGCTTTTTAGTACAAAAAATTTTAGTTAAAGATATTTTTTAACTAAAAAGCTACTTTAAAAAGCAATAAGAAAGTCATCTCAAATGAAGCCTAAATTGGTCACTTGCTTATAGTGGGGAGACTATTTTGCATTTTTTTCTCTATTATAATTATATGAAATTCAATATTCATTTGTCTTTTAATTATTTTCTATTAGCCACTAAAATCTCTTATTTAACAATCATAATTCTGACAAAACTTTAGATGTCAATCTTATCATGACTTTATCAGATAGTCGCCCCTTTTACTCGACAGCATAGTACAAGACAATAATGCCAAATGAGTGTAAATCTTGATATGAAGGGTTCAAAATCAGTCATTCGTCTTGTTTGCTTTACGGTTGGAATTATTAACTATGCAATCAACATTGGCAGAATTCAGCTTAGTTTGGAATAATGAACATGAAAGATTTGTTATTGGTTTTGAGTGTAATTTTTCTGTCTTTGCAGGTCTAACAGAAACTTGTGCTGGAACATTTGTGTCATTACCAAATGAATTTTCAATGCTTGGAACTGTGGGTCCGCCTGTACCAAATGTGGATGTACGTCTTGAATCAGTACCTGAAATGGATTACAATGCCCTTTCAGACGTACCAAGAGGAGAAATTTGTGTCAGGGGGAAAACTCTGTTCTCAGGATACCACAAGCGGGATGATCTCACAAATGAAGTTCTTATTGATGGGTGGTTTCACACAGGTCTGATCCTCTGTGCTGCAACTTATTGTATGCTGGTAGAACATGCTAATTTTCCATTGAAGTCGTTGATTAAACCTTTCGTTGTGTTGTTTCTAGCGAAATATATATGATTTTGATTTTGTTGTCGTCTAAAATAATCTATTTTTATCGTTTCTCACATGAGAGACTTTGACCTGACAAAATAACTTTGCAATCCCTTTCAATTTTTTTTTTTTTTTTTTTGCTTGATGTCGTTTTTAATCAATAAAATATCACGCCTTTAAGCTTTCAGTTTATGTTCTTGTAATGCCTGTCATTTTCTTGTATGATTAACATTGATCATGCCAACTTAGTTTCTTTTTTATTGATAGTCTAGATATTTGAAGTAAGCTGTTTTTTTTTTTCTTAACGTTTATTCTCAGGGGATGTTGGTGAGTGGCAAAAAGATGGAAGCTTGAAAATTATTGATAGGAAGAAAAATATATTTAAGCTTTCACAAGGGGAGTATGTAGCAGTTGAGAACTTGGAGAACATCTATGGCCTTGTTCCTGCGATTGACTCGGTATGGACTTTCACTTTTATTTATAAAATAATTTCATTTATTTTGGATATTCTAGCTATGAAGATAACATCAGTTTTTGTTTGCATATTTGATTAATCCCAGAGCAATGCTCAGGTTGTCTTAATGGTAACCAATTGACGTAAATAGATGTCTTGGTCCATAGGTTTTAATTATGGGAACATACTCTCTTTTACTTAAATAAAAAGGCTGGGTGCATTTGTCCCTCTCGAGAGATATTAGCGGGATCCTTACTAATGTATGATCCCTTCAATACAGTGAAGTAGTTCTTCTAAATATTATTGGTGTTTCAACAAAAACTTAAAATCTAATTATGATCTTGCTTGAGCTCTCCTAAGATATATGAAATTCTAGAAAGTAATATGCTAAGAGACAAAATTGTGAGGCCGGTTAACTGTTAAGTCAAAGCGAATAATATCTCAATAATTGAATGTTTGGCTTGTTACAATTTACTCTTAGAAAGAATAACTATTTTGATGGATTTTAATGCAAACTTGGATGTGAAATTATAGAAAATTTTATTTTATTAAAATTCATGTTGAATGTATTGAAATTTTACTAATTTTAGTATATTTTTACATATTTTATGTAGTTTCTTATTTTGAGTCTTTTGAAGGTTATCCTTGAGGCATGTAAAAATAATTGAACAATGAATATTGAAATATAGCTCTAATTTTCTCTCTTCTTGTGTGTGCTACTTCTAGTGGATACTCTTTTTATTGGCATGAGGCTTCATTTTTAAGGTGTTGTATGCTTCATTTTTTGGTGTTGATTTCTATCCTCATTTTATCTTTTTAATTAATTAGTCATTGGTTTTGAGTAGTGATTTAAGTGATATAAATATTAGGTTTTCTTTTCAAAGTGTGAACTTTATTAGTTAAATTATATTATTCTATTTTTCTTTTTTTTTTTATGGGAATTTAGATTTTAGGCTATTATTAAATTATCTCTTGGAATGAACTTTGAATGTTATTTTCCTTACATTAAGGAGTCGTTTGGTTTGTTGAAAAAAAGGCATAGTAAAATGTAGTATAAAAGAAAAGCAATGCATTTGAAATATTTGGAGTAGTTTGGATGAGTGTATATTAAATACAAGTGATTACTTTTTTTCATTCGACTTGAAATAAAATGAATGTAATGTAAAGCCTAGAGAGGGTGGTTGGCGGCCGACGGAAGGCACCAGTGAGTGTTTGCGGCAGGCGGCGGCGACAGTGGGTAGCAGCGACAACTATTGGTGGCTGGTGATGGCATTGGTAGAGAATTTGCAGTGTATTTGAAAATTGACAAAATCTAATTATTTCCAAATACACCAAATTGAATTAGATGATGAATTTTAAGTACTTAATAATTTTTCTCTATATTTCTTTTACTTCTAATCAAATAATAATATTTTCAGAACTTTTGTATTTGGAATGCTTTATGTGTCTTTTACTTCAAACCAAATAGCCTCTAAATTGATAAGTTGCTGAATATATGAATCAGTCAACTGCAGAGACTGTTATTTTTTGTGCTTTGATTTTGTTTCTCATGCCTGGTTGCATTAGAAATACTATACCCTTGACCATTCTACATAAAACAACAAAAAAAAAAATCAAAATTTATTTATTTTTTATTTTATTAAGTACTTAACTTTATTATTATTATTATTGAATTTCATAAATTTCATATTATCTGTTTGATATAAATAAAGTTTACTGCAAATTTTCCTACCTCCAAAAACGCTCTGCCAATATGCTTTGTTCTTGAAGTGACTCCTCTATTAAATATTTTCTGCCATCAACTTGTGTATTTTTAAAATTTTACGACTAAACCATAAATTTTTATGGACGACTTAATGGATTTGATCTGATAAATGAATTATCTGCATTACTATGTTCCAGATTTGGATATATGGTAATAGCTTCGAGGCTTCACTGGTTGCAATACTAAATCCCAACATAGCAGCTCTGGAACGTTGGGCTCAAGAAAAAGGGATCAGCGGAGATTTCAGTTCACTCTGTAAGAATCCCAAAGCAAATGAGTTCATTCTGGGGGAGCTAAGCAAGACCGCCAAAGCAAAGAAGGTTAGTCCTGTAAAACATTATTTTAGTTGCCCGTGATACCTATAATTGCATAATATGTTTATAGTCTATAAAATCATTTAAAATTTTCAAAATCTCACTGTTGCATGCTCTGACAGTTGAAAGGTTTCGAGTTTGTAAAAGCAATTCACCTTGAGCCACTTCCCTTTGACATGGACCGCGATTTATTAACCCCAACTTACAAGAAAAAGAGACCTCAACTTCTGAAATACTATCAGGCGAGTTCCTTTCTTCACTCTTCAATTTTGTGGGAATATTGCTTTTTTTTTCTATCTTTTTTTTTTTGTCAACAGTGTAGTTTCCCTCGGTTATTTCATGAAAATTTGTAAGAATTACTCTTTTGAATAAAATGCATGGAATATTGTGCTTGTGTGATTCTCAATCTCACCTGTTGATGGCAAGGACTCTAGCTTCTCTGCTTTCTTCGGGCCGCAAATAAATCATTTGGGCTTTGTTTGGTTCGGCTTTCTTATTACTTCTTAAAGCGGAGTTTTAGTACAAAAAATTGCTTAAAAAAGCTGTAAGAAAGTCATCTCAAACGAAGCCATGATTTTCTCATTCATTTATCATCCTAATTTATGCTCAACCCCGAAAACTAAGTTTATACTACAATTATGGTTGTTTCAAGCTTTGGTAATATTGCATTGTGCTATGCCATTTCTTTCATTGAAATTTAAAAACTATGATACTTCAAACATAGCTTCTTAGAAGCATTACAAAACAAGTCAGAAAGCTTTTAATGATAATGCCTATTTATTTGATTTCTTATTGACTTGTTTCCAGAGTGTGATTGATGAACTGTACAAAAGCATCAAGTAAAAGAATATAATTTTGGACTGTTGCTGTGCACCAGGAGTGCCCTCCCGCTGCTGTTACACATTTTGTTTGGAAACCACCTATATGCTATTGCATTATTTATTGGATATGTATATTCTTCCTTTAATTTGTATTATTGTTATAAATCTGTCTGTTTGTCACTTTGTCTTTTTCTTTGAAATCTGCTGGGCTTTGTTTCTATTTTGTTCTTCATCAACCAATAAAATCTGAACTTAGGGAAGTATTGTTTTCAGAATTTTAAAATATTTTGCATTTATTAAGAAGTTTTATAGTTAAACTAGGCATTTATAATTGCGTGTATAGTTTAAAATAACAGCCAAGATTGATCAATAAATAAAAAATATATATTTTTTTTTGCTGTGTTTCTTTTGAAGATAGTGAGTCTATTAATGATTCAAATTTGCTTAGGATTCAATTTTGAAGTCATGCCAGGATTGAAACGAGAACTTCAATTCATATATTTTAAACATATTCACATAAAAATATTGTATTTGCATATATATATATATATATATTCCTATTATAGAATTTTATAGAATCAAAACAGAAAGATTCGGAATAAATTTGCGCAAATTCACTTATTTTAGATCATAATCAAATTACCACATTGTTTATAGTTACGTTTCAAAGCTTTTATTGATATATAGTATTATTTATTAGTGTCAAAATATTTTTTAGATTATTTAATTATCCAATAAAAATTTAGAATATTGTAATCAGTAATATATCAAAAGTCATGCGATAAAAAATTATCAGATATCGATATATATCCATTTTATCAAACAATATATGAAAATTTTAAATTATTAAAAATTGAGATACAAAAAATGTAATATATCTTGACTCGAGTAATTTTGCGGAACTAGCTCGATCGATGAAATTAGCCTGAAGTTCGGAATCGAATTTTATCTCACTAGAGTTTCTCTCTCTCTCTAATCGGTTGGTTAAGGGCGGAAATTGGTGTGGGCTCCGAAAATTCGGCCCCGGCCTCCGCTCGCTCTTTTATTTCTTGTTTGGCGAGGGAGTTTTAACGGATTAAATTCGGGGGTAAATTTTGGAAGGCATATGGGTTTGTAGATAAGACACTACCCAGAGATTTCGCCCTCATTTTGCGAGGACTTTATGATCTGAGTTCTGGTTTCCTATAGGCGCAAGCCCCTATAGTTAATTACCCCTCACGATCACGAGAGAGAACTTTTGATTAAGGCTAGTCGTCAATCAGATACGTATAGAATACGTGTTATCTGGCATATAGTAGCAGCAATGGGTTGGGATTTGAGAATTTGGAAATAGTTTGGAGGTGGTAATAAAAATTTGATATTTAAAATAGAAATTTGCACCATCTTACACTTAAAACGGATGGTGGGGGAATGGATGATGGGCCCGATCAAGATCCGATAGTTCCGTCGTCCCGGCCCATCGTGGTCCCTAGTCTACTTAGTCAGAGAAGGTAGTCGACCCAACCTGACAGAAGGATCCTTGTCGGCAGCCATGGATTGCTTCGTCTAAGGGGACCTTGTAGACATGGGTTGGATGTTTGCCTAAGGGGACAAATTTGAATCCACCTTAGCTTATAGAGGGCTTTGTGCCATATCGATCATATCCTATTGATTCATATCTCAAGGATTTGATGCCAATAAGGAACGTAACGGCGCTGGCCATAACCGGCATTTCGTGGTGCCATTTGGCGGCAAAACCACTCGGTTTAGAGGGCCCCGGGTCATAACTGTTTATCCTGCGATGCCATTTGGCGGCAAACCACCGGTTAGAGGACACGTACCACGTCCTTACTGGCAGGAGACTGTTTGAGAATGGATCCTAGTGATATTTTCGACTAGGCATTTAGCTCTTTTGTGAGCTGAGGTAAATTTTAATTTGTCCACCCCGGCAAACTGTTGCGGAGGGTGGATGGATTTTGCTTTAAGTGATTAATGGGTTGAATTTCAAATTTAAATATTTTTTGGATTTTGAATATTTTGGGATTTTGGTTTTTGTGGAGTTTTGGATTTTTGGGGTTTTTGTGGATATTTGGAATTTTTGGTTGAGCTTTGGAATATTTGGAATATATTTTGGATATTTGGGAGGCATTTGGAAAAATATTTGTGAAATGAACCCCTCCGGTTGAGATCTGCATTCAACACGGCCATCATCAGGGTGTCAGGGGTCATTTGAAAATATTTTTAGTTTATGGATGAACCTTGTCAACTCTGTCGAGCTGTCGATAGAGGATCGGGTTTCTTATAGGCTTCGTGCCTTTATCAGTGAGTTCTCTTGATTATAGGCCTTGAAGGCATAATATAAATGGATTAAAATAAATACACCAGTTGACACAACCGTGTATTTATTTGAAGGTTTAAACCTTATCGACTCCTATTGATCCTCATAAGAAGATCGGGTTCGAATCTGAATTCACTTGTTGACCCGCACAGCATCCCTAGACGTCACGTGTGTACCAATAACACTCTCGTCGGGGCTCATGCGGGTGTTTGGGGGCATTTTATAATTGAACCCTGTTTACTCCTTTTTATCTTCTTAAGAGGATCGGGTTCAAATTAAGTAACCCGCGTAACATCCCTAGACGTCACGTATGTACCAATAACACGCTCGCCGGGGCCTATGCAAATTTTGGGGGCATTCTATAATTAAACCCTGTCGACTCCTTTTTACTTGCTAAGGAGGATCAGGTTTAAAATTTAATAACTCGCGCAGCATCCCTAGACGTCACGTGTGTACCAATTACATGCTCGCTGGGGCCCATGCGGGTGTTTTGATTGTATACCCTTTTTTAGTGTACCTAAGTGTGTACAAACTACAGTGCATGTGCGAGGGTATTTTTGGAATATTTGTAAACGCCTTCTGTCCGCTTGCATAGAAGTTGCGGATCCGGTGGCGTGACGTTGTAGTTTGTGGACGCCTTCTGTCTTCTTGTATGAGTGTTGCAGATCCGGTGGCGTAGCATAGCAGCTTTTTGAATTGAGTTGTTCGCTGCTTTATATAGGTAGACTGTCGTGCACTATTTGTTGATTTTTGTAGGCGGGTCATAGTGCACTAACTAATCTCCTGCCTTGGTTGTAGATGCCTATATTTGTTGAATCTCTTTTAGCACTTTTGCTTGTGAATGTTGCAATGGGCACACAGTGGGTCTTATACGGTAGCTTATAGAAGCTTAAATTTGTCGTAGTTCTTCAGTACTTGTAGGTAGAAGATATGTTGGATGCGCGACCATTGTTCATCAAGGGGCTTGCAAGCCTCAATAATCTTGTCCAGGTTAAAGTTAAAATATTTGGTTGAATTGAAATTCACTCATTCTATAATGATTTGATTTGGTTCTCTTTCTAGAACTCGTATAGGAATTACCGGGGGATTCCTTCATTAGACTCTGTTGTGGGAAAGCTGGTATATTCATTTTCAATCAAATAGTATTGATTGTATAGAGTCAATATTTGCTTGTAGATGGCATAAGCATTATTACATCTCTTTATATTAACCAAACTTGCAATTCTATTGTTTGAGTCACATTAGCATTACGAATCTTTTAACCCCAGCTAGATCACAGCTTGCATGCTAACTTGCACTGACCATGGAAGGGTCACTATATTATAGGTCCTTGATTTATACTTGTAGATGAATCACATCTGTTGGATATTCCTTCCAAATGTGTAGATGACACACATATGTTTTATAGGATGGCTGGCATTAATAGTATGATTGTTGTCCCTTCCATGAACCTCTTTGATCATTTATAGATATGCTACATTTCTTCATTCAATCTCTAGCATTTATATTGATATGATGGAGTATTTGCTAAGTTAAAGCCCTCATTCCATAATTGAGCTCAAATTCTCTTGTATTAAGCTTCATGTGGTGCCCAAGTTTTGGCTCATGCTCATTGTAATTCTCTTATGAATTCGAGTCCAAGTTCTTTGTAATCAAAGTACAAATTCTTTGCATGAGTCTATTTCCAATTCAAGTTCTCTGATGATTATATTCAAGTTCACTTGTCTTCTATTGTTCGTCTGATTTGGTGTTCAGATCATGATTCAAGATTGATTCAAGTCTTTGCTTACATCATTTGATTCCCAAATCAAGTGTGAGTTTAAGTTCAATTAAAGCTCAAATCAAGTCCTCTGTCGTCTTGTAAAGTCCCAATTCGAGTTCAAATGAGAGTCCAAGTTTTTTTGTCCAAACCAAGTCCATGTTCCAAATTGTTCCAAGTTTGACTTCAGTTCGATTTAAGCCTTCTACCTATTTTTTTTTTATTTGGGTTCAATTCTTTATTAAGTCATTTTGTTCAAAAGTCCATGTACAAGTCCTTCGTAGTCCTTCTGAGTTCAATCAAGTCTAGGTCCCAAATTGCTCCAATTCCTTGTCTGTATTTCAGACAAAATTTCGGCAACCTCCTAGCGTCTCCCCTGTTTAGGGGAAAAACCGAGAGGCCGCCTACCTACCACGTCACTAAAGACGTGCACGGTTGGTGTTGGTGAGACACCGCGGCGGTTGTATTTGTTTTTTTCTCCCACCACGCGCAATAAAGGCATGCATGGGGTTTTAAAAAGCAATTTTGAAAAGCAAAATTTTGATTTCCCCCCGCCTGGGGGTACTTATGAGCGACTCCGCTTCACCGTACGTGCCGCACCGGGGTCCCATCCCACCACGCGCACTTAAGGCGTGCTTGGGGCGGTTCTCCGGTTTGCCACGAACATTAAAGTAGGGTTTTTGAGTTTAAAAAATTTCATACCTTGGCGGGGTTGTCGTGGTTGACACGTGGATCGAGGGGTCACTCGCCTACCTCATCGTAGGTGTCGCACCGAGTTCCCTCCTACCACGCGCACTAAAGGCGTGCTTAGGTGGTTTGTCGGTCCGACGCGAACATCGAGGTAAGAGAGTGGAGGGGATTTGCATTTTTTTATAATAATTATAATTAATAAAAAGTCATTATAATAAATTAAGATAATTAATTATAAATAACTTTAACTAATTATAAATAATTAATATTAATTAATATTTAATTTAAAAAAACTAATTAATCATAATTAATTAATATTAACTTTAATTAAGATTAATTATAATTAATTAAAATTAATTATAATTAATTTTAAAAAATTAATTATAATTATTATAAATAATTATAATTAATTTAATAATTTCAGTTAATTAAAATTAATTATAATTAATAATAATAATTTTTAAATTAAAACTAATTATAATTAATTAATAATTATTATTAATTTTGATTAAAATTAATATTGATTAATTTTAATCAAAACTACACATGCTCTCTTTCTCTCCCTTTCCTGCTCGGCGACTTCATTGGATTCGGCCGAAGCAAAGCGCATGAGAGGGAGAAAGTTACCTTCTCAGCTAGCGAGCTCTCGTCGTTGCTTCCGTTCGGGCTGGAAGGAACGCAGGAGGAGAAGGTAAATAGGGAAGGAAACTCACGGCTAGGGCAAGAGGAGTTCGGTACAGGTCAAATGAGTTGGAGGCTGCGGCTAGGGGAAGGAGATTGGGCTGGAGCAATGGAGAAAGGAGGGAGCTCGAGCAAAGGAGGTGCCGGCCATGTAGGGCTCTCTCTCTCTCTCTCTCTGTATGGACCGAACTGATCGGGCAAGGCTTACGGCCTTCTGGATCGGCACAGTGGAGATCGGAGGCGGCAGGAGAGAAGGGCGTCAGGGCTCTTAAGCTTGGCACAGTGGAGGAGTTCGGTCGTGAGGTTGGAGTCGGAACCTTGCTTGGGTCTTTCGCGTGGAGCAGCAGAGAGTGAGAGAGGAAGAAGTCGGAGGAGAGGAATGGAGGTCGTGGGATTTGCGAATGGGAGAGAGCCGAGCGTGAAAGAGCAGCGGGAAGAGTGGCTTTGGGTCGGTATTTAACGAAGATAATGGACTCTCGATGGAGGAGAGGTCGCAGAATTAGCGGAGTAAGCTACTGTTTCGGCGCCGAATTCAGCGGGATATCAGGAAGGCCTCGGCGGGATTTCTGCTGGCGTTCGTGGATCCGATAGGTATTATTTTGATAGATTTTTTTTTGTTCCTTCGATACAGAGGTTAACAATTGGTTTTATAAAAAATGGAAAGTGGACTTTAATATTTATGTAAAACTAATCACAAAGTTGCAACGCCCTTGCAGTCAAATTGGACAATATCAGTCCAAAGAACAATCGACACCCAAAATTGATGTGCGATGCCGCACAAGAATGTCCAATTGCAAAATAAATTTCACCATTGCTTTCCGAACGTCATTAATACCCAAGAACGACCATCAATCTATTCAATTAAGATCATCTGATGAAATCAGCACGCATCTCAAGGCAACACATGCAAATTGATAAAGTTGACGTGCGATGTCACCAAACAATGTCTGATCATAAAACAGATTTTGCTGTTGCATTCAGAACATCTTTAATACTAAAAATCACTGTTAATTTGTTTAATTAAAATTGCACGGCGAGATCGATACGGATCCTGAGGCAATGACACACCAATCTAGAAAATTGACGTGCAACATCACCTAAACGGTGTCCGATCACAAAATGGATTTCACCATTACGTCCGGAACGTCATCGATACACAATAATCACCATCAATGTGTTCAATTAGAATCGCTCGGCAAGATGACATTAATCTTGAGGAGACAACGTGCAAACTGAAAAAAATGATGCGCTACGCTACCTAAACAACGTTCGATCATAAAACAGGCTTCGCTTTTGCATTTGAAACATTATCATTACTCAAACATGCAGTCAATTTGAGCGTTTAAAGTCATGCAAAAAGATTGGCACGCATATCTAGATAAACTTAACTCAATCAGCTCAACTAGTTGACACCTCTAGACCCAATCAAAACTTTTTCAAAACATTCTTAAAAGATAAAGCGAGCAAGACATTGCGACCAACATAAAAAGGAGAGTGGGAGTCTGATAAACAAATTCAATGGGAAAGATTTGCTGAGGATGAAGTAGTCCTGCCCCAATCCCTACAAGTACCCCTATGGTTCTTATGAATAAGCTAATAATTAAATCAATTTCTCTGTTGGCCAAGTTAACGAGTATACCTGCTTTGGTAATTTTTATGAATATTATTTTAAAATCAACATTATCACATCATTATTTTCTTGGAAGGATGATCACACTGTTTAAAATTGTGCAATATGAGGTTTGCCTTGAAGCCTGCCTCAACACAATTCTAATTAAAAACATACCGAGGTTTACTCCTCGGGCATTTGTATATTGCATATATATATATATATATATATCCCAAATTAAAGCCAGAACAAACAACGCCTTCATGTACCCTCACGCCACAACAACTTCCTCTCGACTGTCTCGAACACCAACCCACCGCCTTGCCACAACCATCACCATCGTAGTAGCCATCAGGAATCATTTGATAGCAGCACACCATCACCATCACCTTTAAAATTTTTGAAGTATTATTCTAATCATTATATGAATGATAAATATTTATAAAAGAGGGAGATGACTTAAATAAATAAAGAAAAGCAAATTGGGAGATTTTGTACTATTTGACATAGGGAGGAGTACAATTTGTTATAACGACGACTCAGATAAAAATCCTCTTCTGTGATGACAATGCAGATAATTTCTTAATTGTTGACAACTAGTACAACCTTTTCTAGGAAATAAATATGGATGAACAGAGAACATAAAATAAAAAATTTAAGTCCATCTTGATATTTTATGACATTTTATGAAATTCTTATATTTTTTATTATTTTACTCTTATATTATTTGGATTTCAATTTTATTTGGCACAATTTTTCACTTACCATTTTACGTTTTGTGAAATTTTTTGCTTCATATAAATACTAATTTATTATTTCATAATTCATTAGAGAGTTAATAAATCATCATTTAACATATAATTTGGATATTATATAAAAGATCACTTTTAAACTTTATTTTCATTTTATATAATTTTAAGATTTTGAGGCTTACGCCTACACAAATGCATAATTTTAAACCTCGATCCAATGACTTGGGTAAATCCCTTATTTGGGCAAGTTGGTCAAGAAATTGCCATAGGAGGTAAACTAGATCAACTTGACACCCATGATGTGATTGTTTCAAACCATTTCTCTTTGAGCTTTCTAAGCAATTTAATTATTCATTGAACTATGAGTGCAATTTTAGGTTTTGTATGCAGGAAGACCCTGCAAATTTCACAGGCAAATTATTATGTGCGGACACCGAACGTCATCCAGAGACCAATCAGAATGCTTCACGTAACCCCCACTCGATATCGCAGCTCGGTACCGCGCTCGGTACTGCTAACATGGCGCATTTTGGTTGATCTCCAGACAGTGAACTACGTTCAGCGTCCGCATAGAATAATTTCTCCCAACAAACGGGACAAAAAAAAAAATTTTGCAAAGAGATTTGTATAGTTAAAATTCAATTATGATTTCTGATTAGAAGTCTAACACAACTAGATGTCCAAAGCTTCATCCTGCAGTTGGGTCTGGTCAATGGAAAAAAGGGGGAAGAATTCAACAACTTGCTTATAAATAGAAAACATAATTTAAAAAACAAAGATTTAAAGCTCATTCATTTTGAGCTGAAATACAAAACTATCATTTCTGAGGAAAAAGAAATTTTAGAATTTAAGATTAATTTTATTTTTAAAACTAAAATCAACAAAATCGACAAATTGTAATAAATTTATCATTTTTGGAACATATTTTATAACTTCCATAAACCAGAAAAGCTCTTTCACAAGAAAAATAATCTATTTTTTCATTGCATATAATTTTGAAGCGACAATGTCTTTCATCAATAATGATAATTTAGATATTCCAATGAAATACTTTTTTTTTTGGAACAGGGGTATCGGCCCGCTACCATGTCAGCTTGTGACGCGCTTGACGATGTCCACTAATCCTCTGCGAGTCTACCAGCAACCAACCCCAATGGTGCATGGCATGAAATTATAGTATGGTTTACTTGATAGTTGTGCGACTAAGACCCACGACAGTCTTGACAAAAATCGAAGGGCAATTTGACCAATAGAACAATTTCCGTAGAATCTCAACTCACAATATTAAAATAATTCAGATCAGGGAATAGTTTTACCACTTTTATTTCTTCGAGACCGCCATTCCTTGCTTGCAAGAATAAAAGCATAGGGTCTTGACTGCTTCAGTCCTGAAAGAAAGAATAAAATGTGTAAGTTAATCATATTTGTAAGAAAGAATGAAATTTTTGGTTGCAAAAGAGGGAAACCGAATTTTCACTTGTAAATAACGCAATTGCTTTGCGGGTCATTTATTTAAAGCATAACCAATCCTTTATTGTAAGAATTGAAAGAGAGATTGAATAAACATCAACTTAGACCATTGGAGAGGTTAACTTACATCCCTTTGTTTAAGGTAGGAGCTATAAAAAAGCCTAAAGCTAAATTAAATTGATAATGGCTCTGCTAGGGTTTCGGCTTTTTCATCCCAGCTGCCGCCTCTTCTTCGAGTTCGTCTGGTGAAAGATTTTTTTCATCTTTGCTCTTGGTTTCGTGTATGGCGGCTTCTCGTATACGCGATCCTGGTTTCCTGTGCGGAATAGCAGCTCCTATTTCGTTCAAGGATGCGGTTTCTGGTATTTCGTCATCCTCTTTTCCTGCTCTGAATTTTTCTTCCCATCGAGGCTTGCCGGCATTGTTTATTTCGGAGAATGAAATTAGGTCGCTTGCTAAGCCTTTTGAGTTCTCTTTGGTTGGGCGTTTTCCGGGGCGGAGACCCTCTGTTGATGCCATTCGGAAATTTTGTTTTAGTTTAAAGTTGATTGGAGAATTTTCAGTAACTGTGCTCAATAATCGGAATGTTTTGATAAAACTTGAGAATGATTTTGATTATTGCAGAATTTTCTCCCATAGATCCTATTTTGTTCAAAATTGTTATATGAAAGTGGTGAAATGGACTCACCATTTGGATGTTGAGTTGGATTCTCCTATTGTGCCGATTTGGATCTCTTTCCCTCTTCTTAGGCCCCATTTATTTACTCCTAGAATACTCTTTGGTTTAGGCTCTCTTTTCGGTCGACCCCTCAAATCCGACTTGGCGACGGCATCTGGGTCGCGGCCGTCGGTAGCTCGTATATTGGTTGAGTTGGATGTTACCAAGAAACATGAGTAGAAGATATGGGTTGGATATGTGGAATCTGGGTATATTCAGAATGTTATATTTGATGAAATTCCCAGTTTTTGTAATCATTGTAGTTCTCTAGGTCATTCTAAGGATGCTTGTCCAATTTTGCACCCGAATCGTATTGTATCTAAAACTGCGAAAAATTGTTGTGAAGCTCCGGTGTTGGAGGAACCTGTTGTTGTTGATGCTCAAAATGAAACTGTTATACTTGAGTCGAATGTGTTGGAGTCGGTTGTGCCTGTTATTGATTCTGATAGAGATCAGGCTTTTAAGCCAACGGTTGGTGTTTTGTTGGATAAATCTATGGAGGATACTGTACTGGTGGAAAATGAGGTTGCGGTTGAGGCGGAAATTTCATTGTCTCCTAATGCTGTGCCTTTTTTTCCTTCGTCTGTCGTAACTGATCATTTGGCGGTGAATGAGGGTATTTCGGTTGACATTCTGGAGCCGGATTACAATGGGAGGTTGGTTTCTAATGTTGTTTTGCAGGAGTCGGTTCCTTCCGAGGGAGATGGGCTGGTACTGAGGGTTGACGATGATTTTGCTGTTCGAAATCAGAGTAATGGTGATAGTTTGGTCTCGTTGGTAGGGGAAATAAATGCTAATATGGAAGTGCAGGGAATGTTGGTCAATTCTCAGAATTTGGTTACTGTGCCTGTGAAGCTAATGGAATCCCAAAATGTTTTGGGTAGTAAGTCTGAAATGGTTGTTGGGCTTCAAGGTGACTGGTTAATTAATTCTTCGGAGGAGAATTCGGGTTCTGAATCTGTTTCAGATTCTGATTATGAGTTGATGATGGTGCCGAATAGATCTTTGAGGGGAGATTTTCGTGGGAAACTTTGGAAACGTGGAGGTAAAAGAAGATGATTTGGTTTGATTTTCTTTATTTTTGCGGATTTTTCGGTGGGTTGTTGCAGGGCGATGATGTGGCTGGGGCTCCCCTCCTCGTTGATTTCCTTGTGGCAACCGTCGGTGCTTCGTTATCTTCTGGATGGTCCTTGCGAGGTCTCGAGGATGATGGCTGTTCTGGCTGATTGCTGAGCCCTTATTTGGATTGGTTTTATCCTTTTTTTGTTTTGGTTTTTAAGCTCATAGGTTTACTTCTTAATTGTTGTTAGTTTAGTGAGTTTCTGTTTTGTGTGACTTTGTAACCATCTTTTTATTAATGATATTTTCTGTTTAAAAAAAAAAAAGAAAAGGTAGGAGCTATAAAAACTTATCATAAAATACAATGTTGAGAATTACCATATGTATACGCCGGTACTGCAACAAATATAAAACAATCATGTAAGGTACAACACTTCGAACAAAAATTCAAATCACCATACATTCCAAGAAAAATACAAAGCAACATTTTGGTATTTTATTTCACTTAGATCCAAAATGTGATCCTTCTGTTTAAATAAGTTAAGGTATGGTTTGCCCTTACATACGATCATTTAGGCAAGATATATAAAGTAGAGAAATAATTGGGTCTAGTAAACCCACATGTACAAAGCATTGGATCAAGGAAGCATCTTAAGGGGTGTCATATTTATATCATATATTCATAAACTTAATAAGCATTGTAATGAAATTGGCATGAAATGTGTTTGCAATGAATTTTTTATAAAAAAGCGGATAAGCATCATATTTAAATTCAAAAATATACACAAATATCTTAAATGAAGACAAATGAGTTGTGTTAGATCATATATATTTGAATCTTATGGCAAATTTAGAGATTTTACGAAGCACTTATCATGATTTCTTGCAAACTATGAAAACATATATACTTGGTATGCGCTTATGTTTGAGTGTGCAGCAATAGTTTTCTTTGAACTTTTATTTTTAAAATAAATGGAATGTATGTTGCTAATTAGAATTGTTAAAAATGTTTTAGAATAGAATTGTTGTGTGTACTAAAATATGTGCATATTAGTGAATGCTTGCTTGCATACATATATAAACAACATATCCTTACTATCTATGTAATTGGACCAACTCAATTCTAAGTCAAAGTTCGACAAGTAAACGAGAGGAATAAATGATTAGTTGTGGAGGATATGTGAGGAACTCTAGGGTAAAAAACTGTATGTTTAGCTATCTTTAAGAAACTAAAGATACAAAGAATATGATAAAATGAAGGAAAAGAGTGGAAAAAGGGAACAAGGAGCTTTATAAATATTTATTTTGTTTACCCCATGTTGTATAAGGTATTAAACCTATTTTACACAAATTTGCCCAACTTCAATCAAAACTTTCAATCCAATCCTCTTCATGTAACATTAATTTGGCGCATCTTGTAATCTTTGTTTTGCTTGCCTAAACATCCTAATTCTACTTTTTATTAGCTTTTAATCAATAAATACTACTCAATCCAACATTAATCTATTTCTCAATCCATCATTCCTATATTTGCCAAGAAATCATCATAACATACTCATTTTAAAATTGCTCAACTAATATATTAATGACTTATGAGTAGCCAACTCTCAAATTCATTCAACATAACTAGTTTAATTGCAACAACAACAATAATCTTTAACCCACTACATGGGAGCTCATCTAATTGCATTGATAAAATATATATGTGATTTTTCATGATTTTCTCTCATCACATAGTAATCTTAACATATTAATTCATTTTAACTGATCTGCCTTAACTCTATATTTTCATCTATATCTGCATACTTATGAGGAATGTACTTCTGGAAATTGAAATCTCTTTGATACCATCACAACAAACTCAAAGAGAGGATCTGCGGCATTAAATGATTGATGAAGGATTAACGACCAAGAAGGAAGAGAAGAGGATGGGGGCAAAAAGAGGAGTCATTAATTAAGAAGGTATTAGTAGTAAGTTCACCATCAACAAGAAAAAATAATTCGGAATAGGAAGAAAATGAGAATGTGAGAGAGAGAGAGAGAGAGAGAATTGACAAAAATGGGTTAAAAATTTTATAATAAATTACATTTTAAATCTCCTCAAGTATTTATAATATATCCTATATTTGTTATATTAAATGACCCAATGCATAAATCGATGAGTTAAGAAAGATGTCAAGACCGATTAAATTCAACATTTGATGTAATAAGCTTAACAGATAAATTAATTTACAAGCTCCAATTTTATTATGCCCTAATCTTCACATATGAGCATCTTAATTTTTTAATGCTTGCAATATACCCTTATATTGTCTCAAAAAGGTATCTTTGCATCAAAAAATCACCTATATGATTCATCAATATAAATTTATGCATATTTATGATTATATCACTCCAATAAATTTTTCCAAGGCCATAGTGCATAAAAACCTCTTCTTCAAATGCATTTTCTTTCAACTCTCTAACTAATAAAAATGAAAAATGATCATGTTCTAGTGAGCTATAATGATCAAATAGGAATGATGCATCCCTTTAAAGGTTGAAATTTAGAAAGACTAAGAAATGCTCATTTTGAGAAATGTGTACAAAACAAGTGTGCCAAAATGCTCATTTAAAAGGGTAGTGCTAAAAAACAAGCAGGAAAGCATATGAATGATACTTTAGGTCAAAGGTCACATGAATAGATAATCCAAGAGAGCAAAAATTAAAGAATGATCTTCCATTAAAAAAATATACTTATGATGAGCTATGATGCACGGACACGGACACGGCGACACGGACACGACACGACACGGACATGGGACACGGCTTTTTTTGAAAATATAAGACACGGGTACGGCGCGGACACGGCAATACATACACACACACACACACACACACACACACACATATATATATATATATATATTAGAACTCTGATTCAACAAGAGAAAGATTTGTAATTGTGCAAAAAGAGATGAGATGAAAATACCTTCACTGCCAAAGAGAAATGAAAATGAGAATATTCGATGAATGGGTATTAAATGCAGACGTTGATTTGATGTTGTGGATATGAAATAAGAAATTTAGTTTAAATCTCGCCAAATATAAGAAATTATATTTTTAAAAAATATAAAATATTTAAGATATGCTTGTCGGACACGCGTGTCCAATTTGTTTTTAATATTTTTTTAATCGGACACGTTTTCTGCGTGTCCGACGTGTGTCGGAGGAGTGTCGGATGAGTGTCGTGTCGGACCGTGTCGGACACGGTGTCGGACACTGCACGCCTCTTTGAGGAGAAGTGTCGGTGCATCATAGATGATGAGTCAATTATATAATGGAGCTCATGGGATTATTCAATAAATCACTCACATGTTTTCTCATGAATGTCTTACCAAAGCATTGAGTTTTTTTATCCAGCATTGAACATATCACCAAGTCTTGTGATGAGCGAAGTCATGTACATCATTTTCCTTGGTCGTTGAATGTGTGAAGATCCCATCCCTTGATGTTGTTGATGGGCCAACAGGATTAAATAACGCAGCTGACAAACTAGGAAAAAAAATATCTCCTTTGCTCATGGAAAATTCAAAATTTACACGAAAAGCTATTGCATCTATATTAAATACCTGGTCAACCATTTAAGAGCCAATCATGTCTTGCATGCTAAAAAGGCCGTTACCATGCTGAAATGCCATGTTACTTCAGTTCAAAAATGAAACTTCCTGAACCTTATGTGGCCCAAACACGGGATGTTTTATAGAATCAAGGAATCACCCCCAATTCGAGAAATCAACCACCAACTTTTCCTGCTGTGATAGGTAGCAAGCAAACAAACTTATCTAGTTGTCCAAATCTGCAGACATATTCTAGCAAAAGAGAAACTACAACCTTAGATGGAGCAATGCTTTTCATGATAATTTTATCCAACAGTTGAACCGCTTCCATGATTTCACCTTTAATACAAAATCCTTGCAGAATAACAAAGTAACTAGCTACATTTACGGGTAGGCCTTTATTCTCCATCTGCAATACCACCTGTTTGGCTTCAGCTAACCTCATACTTCGACAATATGTTGCAAGCATATGCGAGTACAGAATAAAATCAGGTTCAATCTTACTTTCATGCATTTGAAGAATCAAATTATCTACATCATGGAACCTACCTAACCCACACATCGCACCTAAAAGAATACTATACGTAGAGACATCAAGCTCCACTCCTATCTGAATCATATCCTCAATCAAACTTGCCATATTCTCAAGGTCTCCAAGTCTACATAGTCCATCCAATAGTGTGTTATATGTAATCACATTTGGCTTTAAACTATGCTTCTTCATTCTGCATAACAATTCCTTAGCAGCTTTAACATTTCTTATTTTGCAGTATCCATCCATAAGGGTATTAAAAGTTATAAGATCAGGTTTGGAACCGTTGCTGATGATCTCCTGCAAAAGCTTCATAGCTTCCTCCATGTTTCCTGATTGGCAAAAACCACGGATCAATATATTATAAGCAACAATTTTATTTACAATTCCTTCATCTTCCATTTGGCGAAAGATGCAAACTGCATCGTCAAGGCACCCTTTTCTACAGAATCCATCAATCAAAGTACTGAATGTAAACTCATTAGGTTGTAATCCTTGTTCCTTCATCATATTAACAACCCTCTTTGCCTCGTCTATTCTTCCCTCTTTACAAAATGCTGTAATAATTCCTGTATAAGTAACCACATTTGGGCTAAGCCCACAACGTTGCATCTCATCGATCATTTCCAAGGCTTTGTCAAACTGCCCATCTGAAGCATGCCCATGAATCAGGGCAGAGTAAGTCCTCACACTTGGAAATAAACCATTTTCTAACATCTCATAAAAAAGAATTTGTGCTTCTGCAATTTTATTCTGTCTGCACAACCCACTTAAAAATCCAGTGCAAGTAACAACATTTGGCAGGAATCCAATTTTCTTCAACCTGGAATACAAGGCTTTAGCTGATTTCAGCTTTCCTTCACCACAAAGCCCAGCCAAAACGCAGTTGTAAGTAATGCTGCTAGGAGCTACATCAAGCATTAACATTTGATTAATCAACTGCAAGCCGATATCCGAATTCAAGGACTTGCAAACATAATCAATAAGTATAGAAAAAGTTCTACTATTCGGACACGGCCCATTTTTCTTGATTTGATCAAGAACTCCAAACGCATCAACAATCCTACCAATCCGACAAAACCCCTTTATCAGAGTATTGCATGAAACAATCGTCGGAGCGAAAGACCAAAGCGTTATTTCGTCGAACACCTTGCTTGCAAGATCCACGCGGCCGCACTCAGAGTAGCAATTGATCAAAATGTTGAAGGTGACAACATCAGGTGCCACGCCAGATCGTCGCATGAAGTTATAAAGAAAAATGGTGGAACCAAATCGCTTAAATTTGTTTAGGGAAGAGAGGACGAGATTGAATGAGAGGAGGGAGGGAGGGTTAGGGTCTTCTTCTGTGCATTGGCAGAGGAGAGAGAGTGCTTCATCGATCATACCGCATGATATGCAATATCGGAGACGGGCTTCAGTATCTGCCTGCGAAAGGCATATTGGTGAGTTGGGTGAACGGTGAGTCGTGCATGCGAGGTGGAAAGAAGCTCTAGGAGAGATAGAAAGGGCTCTTCTCCATTTTGCAAGCATCGGGTTTTTGAGGGAATATGTCGAGGAGAGTGTAGATGAGGCTTTTGAGTTTAGATGCGAAAGTTTCGGTCATTTGGACAGCTGAGATGACGGTGAGCTATCGAGTTTGGATTGTTAAAATTATATCGGTTCCCTACTCGACGCAACTTTCTTAGATCTAGGATTAATTTTTAAAAATAATACAGTAAATAATTTAATAGGTGAAAAGAAAACATAAAAAAATTATTTCGGTAAAGGAGATAATTCGTGTTAGCGACTAGCTGTTGAGCTGTCTTTCATCCAGGATGGCATGCCAGGTGTGCTTAGGGGGTGTCAAAAGTTGACCCGACCCAAAACCTAACCCGAACCCGACCTAGAAAAATTCGGGTTCGGGTCAACCCGTTTGTGAAATTGGTCGGGTTCGGATTTCTGACCCGTTTAAAAAATGGGTCGGGTTCGGGTTGACCCGACAACTCGAACTCAACCCGGATTGACCCATTTGGTCATCCCGCACGTGGGACAGAGGACGGGCATCGTGTCAGAGCCTCAGCTGCAGCCGTGCAGCGTGCCATCGCCCAGCCCATCGTCTGGTCACGTCAGCGTCAGGCATGGGGTCCGTCCGCCTTTCGAGTCAGGTCACGTCCGCTAGACCGCTGGTCCGCGTCAAGCCTTCAGCATGTCGCCGACTCGCCGCCCGCCATCGTCGATCCAGCTTGCAAAGCGCCAAAGCCTCGTGGCCTCACTCGAGTCCGCCAAGTCCGGCCCGCGTCATGCTCGAGCGACCGAGCTATTTTTTGCTGCCATCCACGTCTTGCCCGAGCGACCAAGCTACCGCTTTGTCCACTCCGCCAAACTCGGCGGACCCGCTCCGTTCGGACTGCTCCGCAGCTGTTCGCGGGTAAGGTCGGGTCAACCTGGTAACTCGCACGGGTCAAGTTCGGGTTGACAAACTTGACCCGTTTACGAAGCCGGGTTGGGTTAGGGTCAACCCGTTTACGGCCGGGTCACGTCGGGTTCGACCCGAACCCGACTCATTGACTCGAATTGACACATCTAGGTGTGCTGGTTGGGTTGGTCGGACTTATGTCAAGTGTGTTAGTCAGGGCACAACATGCCAGGTGTGCTAATCAGATTGCTTGGGATTACGTCAGGAGTGTTGGTCAGGCTGGTCGGACTAGCCAGGTGTGCCCTGGTTCTGTTCGGAGCAGGCTAAGGAGAAGTCGTTTACTTTCCGAACAACTAGCGCAGATGCAAGTCATTTTCTTTCTAAACGAATGCACACTGAAAAAGGAAAATAAATTAAACAATAAACTAAATTAGTCAATTATATTTTGGTAAAAATAATAAATTAGAATAATCTATTAAATTAGTAAATTATATTTTAGTAAAAGTAATAAATTAAATTAGTAAATTATTTTTTAGTAAATTAATAAATTAAATTTATATACTTTATATATATGCAAATTTATTTAAGATTTTTTTTTACAGTAAAATTTAAATATTTTTATAAAAAATGAAAATAAAAAGAAAATTTAAAAGATAAAAATAAATAGGTACATTAAATTTTTTGACATTTAAATTTTTAATAATCTAATTTATTAAAAATACAAAAAAAACAAAACTATCAGAAAAAAAGAAAAAGGTCAACACGTTAGTTGTGCTAACGACTGATTTTTTTTAATATTCATTTTATTTAACTATTTATTTTTCTCTTTTTCAGTTTTTTTTTTTAAATATGCTATATATCACAAGAAGAACACATACGTAAGCAAATGATATGTAATTAATGCATGAATATGTGAAATAATACATGTAACAAGATGACTAGGGCCTACATGCACTAAGAGAAGTAATTTTTCAAAGTTTTGAGCCAAATAAGGACCCATAACTTTGAAAAATTAAATGCAGAATATGAGGGCCTCACTAAGTTCAAACAAAACTAGGGGATGTAGGGAACATCTCCTAGTTTGCTCTATCCATATTTGAGCCCCAGATGTCCTGTTAAGGAGTAATTTACAAAATATCTCATGAGTTCAAATGCAAAATTTTCTCGAGATATATGTTAAAACACTTTGATTCTATTTTCAAATTCTAGTTTCATAGAGCCCATAATTATTAAATTTGGCCAATAAATTAATTTTCTAAAAAAAATTTATGTTCCGTTCATTTTTTAAAATTTAAATATTTTTTTCAATGACATGTGGCAGTGCTGAACATGTGGTGCACTCGGGGGGTGACATGTGGCGACGATGGACGACGGCCGGACAATGGCAACATGGAGGCGGGATGGCGGTTGCCACATGTTGGCATGTGGGCTATTCACTTATACACGTCAGTGTTGCAAATCATGTGCAACTGGTTGAATGGATCAGTTGTTAATTGAAATCCATATTGCTTCATAAAAATTTGACAATCCATATTTTAACTTCTTTCAAAACATATTTTCTAAGCAAATTTTATTTTCTTATTACGGTTTATCCAATGAATCAAACTTAACGAAATTATTAGGAAATGTTTATAACCCTATGAACTACCTATACCTTGATTTTGAGGACTTTTTATGTTGTATGTTGAGAGTTAATCGTAATAGAAGTTTTAACTAAAAGTTGAGATATTATTCTATCTAGTGGTTGCAATGGCTTGTTCTTGGGCTCATTTTCTTTGTAAGAATGATAGGAGTAACTTTTTTGAAGGACTCTCCTCTTGAAAATTTCTGGATTGAAAGTTAGGAAGATGGAAAGAAAAATGACCTATGTATAGCCTTGGTTCTCTCCTCTAACATACTTATGATGGTGGGAAAGAGTGGGGAAGTGGGGAAGTGGGGAAGGAAGCTCTTGCAACCAAATGAAAGGAATGGGAGCTCTCGAGGGGCTTGGTTTAAGGGTTTTGAGTATTACGTGTGTTATGAATGTTTTGGAGGTTTTTCCGTATTCTAAATATTATGGTTTACATGGAGGATTAGGACTGCTTGGATCTCTCTCTTAGATATTCGTCAAGTGTCCCATGTGGTTAGGTGGGCAGCTTTGCCCAGGTAAAACCAATCCTATGTGAAAAGCCTTTTTTGGCATTTATAAAGGGGGGTTCATTAGAGTAATTAGGTTTGGGTTGAACCAAGGCTTAAGTTTGGGTTTGAGCAGCTCTAGTAAGGTTCTAAATTGGGTTTAGAACAACTCTAAGGGTTCGCATGTGTTGGAGACATGAAATTTGATGCATTTGATCAAATTTTATATTTTGGATAATTTAGAATTTTTAATTAATTTGATCACTTTGATCGGTCAAGATAATTATGATAGAGCATGGGGAGTCCCTAGAAGCCAAGTAGTGTGCATGCATGAGGTTTGACTAACTTTGACTTTTTTAATATTTTAGAATTTTTTATTAAGTTTGACCACTAATTTGACCATTCAAACTTGGTCAACATGATTCACCCATGCTTTGGACACATCACACAAGGGTCATGAGTTTGGAATTTATGTATGAGATAAAAAATAAGGTCAAAAGAGACACTCTATTGATCTCCCTTATGTTAGGCTAAGGGATAAAGGGGCTCGCCATCAAATAAACAACTTATTGGATAGTCTTCTGACATGTTACTAATATTGTTAGCCAAGGTTTTTCTTAATGATTCATGTTTTCATTTAATGTGAATGTGGAGAGAGGAAGGTTCATAATAGGCAAGGTTATGACAATCGGACCGAAAAATGTATCGAAACAAGGAGAGGTTTACGGTATAATCAGTACAACAGACCAAATCGAACCCGAACTGGATGATGTAATAAATAAAAATTTTATTAAAAATTTATAAAATTAACTTCACCTTCGTAGCCATTTAACATCATTTTGAATTCAGATGGCCTAAAATTTAACCTATTTGCAACTTTATCTCTTTCAATCTTCAAATTTTCTCTAACATTTAGCATCACTATTTTTACATTCATTAAGCATATGTGACAACTCTAAATATATGAGATTAATTTTAACACTCACAACTTATATATTGAAGCATAAAGTTTCAAGCAAGTTGCACAAAGATGATGTAAGAATCTAATAGAAGAACTCACACTAAGAACTATTTATCAACCTACAGGCCATGACATCCTTGAAGAATATGCCATCTTAAACCAACCACAAGCTCAAACCAATCAACTTATTAATTTCTAATCAGAATTTTAATATGCCTCCCCATTTGAAAACTCATCAAATGACCTAATATCAAGCTGATACCAAAGAATGCCTTCAATTCCACCAATCCTCGATAGGATTGTGTGCTATGATAGAGTTAAAACTATAGAAACACAATTAATTATGCAAAATCAAATACAAACAAAAGAAAAACAAGTCAAATCCATAAATAAACACCAAAACATAGTTGTGAGGAAAATAGATGGGGCGAGGAAGAAGACCATTGAGAAAAAAGAAATGAAAAAAGTTGGTAATGAAGACCTTGAGTGTTCTCTTGCAGTGTTGACAGTGAAAGCAAGCCCTGTGGAATTATACAGACCTGATATTGGAGTGAATGAGTGAGGTGTGTCACGAGACTCGTGACATATGGAGGAAGAGAGGTAGGAAATACAAAGCAGTCTTTGGGTTATATGGATCAAGAAGTAATATTTTGACTATTCAATTTGCAATCAACGATGCCCATTCATCACATTTGAAACCTGGCAATCTTTTCAATTTTGGCCGGTTCATTGTTCATTAGGTCATTATGGTGCTTCGTTTGATTTTTTTGGTTTTTTTAGACTAGTGCAATTTTGTAGTTTAATTAGACCTGTTGGTCGGCCGGTTCATGGTTTTTCCAGTCAGCCCACGAATAAACTGGCTTGTTCAATCCGGTTTTAAAAATTTTTATAACAAGGCTAAAGGCTACATTCATCACCTTCAACGAATCATAGAATTTAGAGGATACATTATAAGAAAATGACTGGTTTCCGATAGAATTTTCCTTCATAAATCACCAATTTTTCATTGGAAAAATATATTTCCTGTGTACTCTCAACAAAAAAATTTCTATCAGTAAAACACCCGTCGGAAATGAAGCGCCGATAAAAAAAGATCCAACATATATTGCCACATGAAAAAAAAAGGAGAACTAATTTTTTTAGAAAATTCTACTAACCACAATTATCCAACCCACTA